TCTCCCTAGAGGACATACAAATGGCCAACAAATATATGAAAAGATGCTCAACATTGCTAGCTATTAGGGAAATGTAAATCAAAATCACTGAGATACCATTTCACCCATTAGAATGGCTATCATCAACAGGACAAGTAATGACAAATGTTGGAGTGGATGTGGAGAAATAGGATCCCTTATACACTGCTGGTGGGACTGCAAATTGGTACAGCCACTATGGAAAACAGTATGGAGGTCCCTCAAAAAACTAAGAATTGATCTACCATATGACCCAGCAATCCCTCTACTGGGTATTTATCCCAAAGACTTGCAAATCCATATCCGAAAAGATATTCGCATACCGATGTTCATAGCAGCATTATTCACAGTGGCCAGAACATGGAAGCAACCAAAACGTCCTACGATAGATAATTGGCTAAAGAAGCTGTGGTACATGAATACAATGGAATATTACTCAGCCATAAGAAGAGATGAAATTTGCAACAACATGGATAGATCTTGAAATAATCATATGAACTGCCATTTGCAACAACATGGATAGACCTTGAAATAATCATACAAAGCGAAATAAGCCAGAAAGAAAAGGTTGAAAACCACATGATGTCACTTATACGTGGGATATAAACCTAAAAGCAACAAATGAACAAGACAAATAAACAAGAGACTCATGGACATGGACAGTGGACTAGTGGTTACCAGAGGGGAGAGGATGAAAGGAGGGTGAAAAAATAAGATGCAAAAAAAAAAAAGATATAAACAGTTTGTCTAAAAAGAAATAAAAATTATATTGGCTAAAAAAATAAATAAAAAAAAAGCTATTGACATAATTTACATGAGACTAATTATCTTACCTCCTTTTCTTCACCAACTTGGTCCAAACTCTCATGACTTGAAGGATTATATGGAATTACTAAAACCCCAATCCCAAACATAAAAAGAAAGAAAAATATAGCATCCATTAACTGAGTTCGACTTAAATTTTCTCTTGATTTGATTTTTTATTTAGATTTTATTTCTGAGTAAGTTTTCAACATTTAAAAGTAAGTACCTGTGCTACTCACAACAAATTGTCTGTAAATATGAGTTAAATCCTAATCTTTAATGAGGGTTAAAAAAGCAAGAACCAATCAGTAAGTAAGTAGCCAAGTATAGATTTTAACAAATATTCTTGCTATTTTAAAAATATTTATCTTCTATACAAATTAATCAATTCCTTCTATAAAGGTGACTCTATAAACCTCATTTAATTATTTTAGCATGACTGAGGCATGGAGATAGAGGGTCTCTGGTTTTTACTCACTTCTTCATACTCAAAATGTTCCTAATCATTATATCACATAAGTCAAGTAAAGCAGCGGTCCCCAACCTTTTTGGCGCATGCTGTTATGACAATCAAATGCCTGGTGATCTGAGGTGGATCTGAGGCTGCGATGCTAGCACTGGAGAGGGGCTGAAAATACAGATGGAGCTTCGCTTGCTTGCCTGCCACTCACCTCCTGCTGTGCGGCCCGGTTCCTAACATGCCACGGACCGGTACTGGTCCACGGCCCGGGAGTTGGGGACCCTTGAAGTAAAGGACTGACAAAGTTTGGACTCTAGGTTTCTATTCCTTGAAGCAACTTGGGGAGGAAAAAAGTCTATATTTCATATAACCAGCTTCTTCCATGAATAAGACACTGCATTCTGTCTGTCCTTTCAGAAAAACTCCTTGCCTTGCCTTTCTTGATTCATCCCAGATCAGGATGCTCTGTCCCATTTAATTGCTCTTTAAATTTCCCAGATACATATTTAAGGTTTGTATCTACTTAACACTTGAACTTTCATAATCTTTTTTGAATTTTCTATACTGCATCTCTATCTTTTACATCATATTTTCTACTTCTGATAATACAACTTTTAATAAAAACAGGTCACTTTAACTTAGTAAACGTGGCCCACAAAATCAGCATGTTTTCATTATTAGAAATAACTAGGTTTGCTGAATTTAAAAAGGTCTCAAAAATAATTTATCTAAATTACAGAAAATAGTCATTTGTTGTAGTTTACACAGTTGTCTTTTTAAAATGCCAAATGTGTATGTTAAATATCACTACAATATTACCACCGCAAAATATGGTTATCTAACTTTTATTTGGGAAAAATCTAAATGTTTTTAAACATTGGTGCAAGAGTCACCTAAAGAAATCTTTAAATGCTGTTCTGTTAATGAACAATGGTTCTTGACATTCTTACCTGTCTGTGCGTGGTCTGAGTGCATGGATGACGGATCCATGGGCATCATTGGCTCCTACAAACATTTCCAAAGAAACAGTAACTTAGTGAATTCTTTTGAAATCTCTGTATCTCTATAAATCCAGAAACATTATTTTGATGAGACACAGCATATTAAAATTAAAATTTGAAAGAATATAACTTAAGTAAAAATTATATCACTGTATTTAATTCACTTTTACTTTTATTACATGAAACCAACATAATATTCCTGTAAATGAGGTAATGTTAGTCACATTTTACAGAGTAACAGAAGAAACACAAAACTAATTTCAGACCAACAATTACAAACCAAATTAAACTCTGATTTTTCTCCTCTACATTACTGATTCTTCCTTTGAGCTCACTTCCATATTCTCACTTTAGTCTCTGGCAAAAGGAGTCTCTAGTACTTGATTTCTTTAACTGAGGTCACGAGATAGACTTCAAGATGTCTATAAACCTCTTGAAATTATATGCAAAATTTTGAGGACTCCTCATTTTTCTAAAGTCTCAAAGGTATCAGTGACCCCAAAAAGAAAAAGAAATACCTCCTAGAAACTGACCTAACCAGCCACCTGTCAATAACCTCAGGTAAAGCTAATTCAAACCAAAATGTTACTAATTCATTAATCTTGGACCCAAGTTTAATGAATACAAAAAGAAAGGGTAAGTTTGAGAAGGAGCATTAATTGTAGTTATAATTTAAGGCTGCCTTAAAGATAGGCTCATGCGTTTTTCAATGTGTTTAACACCTATCCTAAATATAATCACTAACTTTGTCCCTCTTTTCTTCCACATTTATAAACTCACACAAATCATCTATCACCTAAGAATATTAAAAAATGTCAACAGTAACCTGGATAAATTGTTTGAAATTTCTGACCTTCTATTTTTTATTGAGATTGGACTTTTAGCTCCCTAACAACAAACCCATTTCTAACCTTATATGAACTAGCTAAATAATTCTAATACCAAAGAGCTACTAGTAATAAACTATTTTTATAATGCCCAAAGAAGGTACTATGAATAACATGGAATAATCTTTCTAGAAGACAATTTAGAAAGATGCATTCAGATCTTTCTAAAAATGCATATCCTTTAACCAAGTACTTCTGAATCCTTAAGGAAATAATAAAATTTATTTACCAGAAAGTTCACTATGATTTTCTTTATAGGAAAATTTAGGAAACAACTCAAATATTCCATCATGGGGAACAGGTTAAAAAAATTATGGTACAGACACGTAAGAAAATATTATGCTAAGAATAATGAAAATATAGATAGCTAAATAGATATAGAAAGATCACCAAAATATATTGTTCAGTAAAAAAAATGAGTTAGAAAACAATAGTACATATGTGATCCCACTTTTATTTAAAAGTATGTAGAACGAGACACAACCAAATATTACGTGCGTCCTGATGAATAAACAAACACTCCACCTTCTATGAAGTATTCTCGAAAACAAAAACCAGAATCTAATCAAACTTCTAGATCCAACTATAGTATACAGAAAATAAAGAGGACAGGGGAACATTTTAAACATAACCATGGAAAAGCAAAGAGAAAATTCAAGGACACTTTAAACGTCAATACAGTTTCTTCTACAGTTAATTGTAAGGGGGAAAAGAGAGCAAGAGTGAGCAAGCAAGAAAAAGCAAGGGTGGGGAGGAATCGTAAATTTAAAAATATCTAAAACATATATCAATCAATTGCAAATATGGACTTCAACTGGATTCCAATTCATAATGAAAATTGTAAAAACAAAATCATAACATTTATGAGATAACTGAAATTTTGAACATTGCCTGTATGGGTATTTGATATAAGGAATTTGGTTTTCAGTTTTTAAAGAGTCCTTATATTTTAGAGGTACATACTGAAATATGTCTGGCATTTGTTTGAAAATAATACAGGGAAAGGGCAGGTTAAATGGGTGGGGTTATAGATGAAACAAAATTGGTCATGAATTGGTAACTGTTGGAGCAGGATGATTTATTGGTACAAGGAAGTTCATTACACTGTTCTATCTACTCTTATATATGTTTAAAATTTTCCATGTGGAAAAATTTTAAATGTTTATGCATATAAATTTGCACAGAAAAAGTTCTGGAAGGATATACGCAAATGACAATTACTTTTAGATGGTAGATTTTGTGGGGGATTTAATTTAATTTTTCTTTATTCATCTGTATTCTCTATTTTTTCTACAGTGAACATGTTTTAATTACATATTTAAAATAGAAAGGAAAAAATCAAAAGTTTAAATGCAAAAAGTCCTCAGTAGTCTGACACTTTAAATAGCAAACATGAAGCTTCTGACTCTTACCTGGTATCTGCTTAGTATAGTTGCCAGAATCATGGGAGCTATAAAATCATGAGTTTAGCTTAAAGAAGAAAAAAAATCTCTTAAATGGTTCTCCCTACATCTTCCTAATTTACACAAGAGGATTTTGTAGAAGGTTAAACAAAAAAGTTAACTATACCCTACCAACAAATTTGTAATAGTTCCAGAATTCCCACTATCTTAACTGGACTGTGATCTTATGCCCACTGTTGAGTTGTGGTTCCTTAACACCCTCCATTTAAGCCCTTTCTTCTAGTAGTACCATCAAAAATGCTCTATTAAAATTAGACAATTGTGTCTTACCGGTGGCAAAGAATGCCGCCCACATTCAATTGTGACAAGTTTGTGGCACTTCTTATGAACCAGGAGTTTGCAATTGATGCACTTATATCCCTGGCGTCCTAGTCCCCATATTCGATCAGTACAGATGGCACAGTGGGCACGCTGGAAAGAGTAATTCAACAGAATTTAGTAACAAAAAAAGGGGTCATAATCATTTCCCAACAGTTTGCTCATAGAATAGTGAAAATAAGTGACTTTCTTCTCTAACTCAAATCTCTTCATCATACATACTTTTCCAAAGCTTTGATGGTTAGGGAAAAAAAAACAGAAAAGAGAACTTATTTTAAAGAGAGTGAAATTCACAACCATGTTGTTTTCTGTTTTAAGTCCAAGAAGTTTGTCTTCATGTAATTAGACCGAGAATAATAAAAACAGGAAAAGTAAATTAAACTTGACAAACATATGGCAGAAAAGGCTGTACAAAGATTCCTGGGCAAAGATAAACCTTCCACACTGTTCAGAGGTAAAACCAAAGCCCTGCTCTCTTAAAAAACAATACCTAAGGTGATTTTCCATTTTGAAGCTTTTTAAATATCAGTGCTACTGAGAACAAGAGTTTGGGAACCCCGGGTGGTGGCTTCTATTTATAGTAATGAATTTAGAACATGGCATCAGTTTTAAAATAGAAATGGGAGTCCATAACTATTTAAGAATAGTTAAAAACATGAACTCCTGGAGACACATTGCTTTCAAACCTTGGCTCTGCCACTTACTGTGTCATCTTGAGCAAGTTATTTAACTGCCCTACACCTTGGTTTCTTCATCTATAAAATGGAAACATATACTATCTATCTCACGAGGTTATTGTAAGGATTAAATGAATCAATATATGTCAAGCATTTGGAAAGGCGCCTGGTACATAGTAAAAGCTAAATAAGTGTTTGCAATTATTATTTTCTACACAGTGAGAATTAAAATTATAATATTAAATGGTTTCCAAAATAAACCTAGCTTATTTTCTGGCTATCTTAAATTATATCAAAAAATCCGACTGTCTTATAGCTAGGGTAACAATATAATTAATCATCCAATCTGGAACATTTTTAAGAGTGAAAGGAGATGCTATTAAAAATTACCTCAAGAAAACAGGTAACTGGGAATGTTAGGTAACCCAACTTATCCCTTTAAAAGGAAAGAACAAGACTACCTTTCTTTTACAGTAGAGGAAAAAAATAGTTGTCTCAAATTATCCACATTCAACAAACCAAGGTTTACCCTGTTGAAACGCTTGGCTTGAAAAGTGTGGCCATTTGCACAATAAAGCTTTCTCCATCGGCGTGCACCTCTGCGGTAGATGGATTCTGAAGAGAGATTAAAAGTTAAAAAAGAGCAAGTGTGAATAAAAGCCATTTTATTATAATTAAGTCTGTGATTTTTTTTTTCATGATATTCATTGCAAGAAAAAAATAAATACAGGTAAAAACCTGAAAGTGAAAAAACAAAACATTCCTTCAGGGACTAGATGAAAATAAATAAAGCCCATGGAATACAAATGTTTGAACAACTATTACTGCTTTTCTGTTTGTTCATTTTCCCCCAAATTTTAATTCTGAAAAAATTTTAAACCCACAGAAGAGTTGAAAAAACAGAACACTAAACTTCATCAAGATTTAGCAATGACTGACATTTTGCCACATTTTGCTTTCTTCTCTTTTTAATATACTTTTTTATTTGGATCATTTAAAAGTAAGTTGCAAACAACATAACACTTCACCCTTAAATACCTAAGTGTCCACTGCCTGAGATTAAGTTCATTCCCTCTAATTCTATTTATGAACAGTAGTACTACCATGTCTTAGAAAATTAAAATGAATTCAATATTACCTGATATATGGTTCATATGCAAATTTCCCCAACTGCCTTCAAAGTATCATTCATAGCTTTCATGTTCCTTACGGGATCCAATCAAGATTCAGGCATTGCATTTTGATGCTATACCATTTTTGTCTCTTTAATGTATGCTAAAACATTCATTCTGCCTTATTTGTTGTTTGTTTTCAAGATGTTGACTTTTTTTAGTTTAGGCAGTTGTCTTGTGTCCTACATTCTGGATTTGTCAGTTTCCTCATTAGAGTTGGTATTATTATTTGGTAAAAATAATACATAGGCGATGTGTATTTCTTATCACATTACATCAAGAGATGCATAAATGTCATATTACCGACTCCCACTCCTAGTGTTCACTCTGTTAAAAGGCAGTGATTCCTAGTTTTCTTCATTGTAAAGGTACCTTTCCTTTTTGTAAGTACTCTTACAGATGTCTCAGGGTCATTTTATAACCACACAAGATATTCTCTTCTTCAATAACCTTCCATCAAATGGTTTTTATATTAATACTTTTCCTAAACAAAGAAATTCCATAAAAATTAAATCTAGACCATCTGTGTAATTTTGGTTAAGTCAATCATTATTTTACACACACACACAGTCTATTAGATATTAATAGTAATATTCCACTGTAACAGTTAATAATGTGGAAAGATTCCATTAGGTTTGTAAACTCATTTTAAAGCAAATGTAACACTGAGTTTACTATTTAAAATTTAGAAAAGACCAGTTGAAATTCTCTGAATAAGAAATCTTGAGATAGTATAATACACAACTTTAAATATAGATGCTTTTATTTTTAATTATTTATTCTGTTAGGAGTAACCAAAGCAGAAAGTTACTATTAATAATATCTTCACCTAAAAGAACATCTTATTTCAGAAGCTTTCATGAACTAAAACTTGATATATCTTAAACATGTTAATGTTTCCTACGAATTAAAAGAGCCCAGAAACCACATTAATGGCTACTGATTTCTCCTCATGCACTAGAGTTTGGTAATATTTGTCATGCTGGGGAAGGAGTAGTGTCAAAATTCCATCAGCAAAATTTAAAGAGGAAAAATGGGCATGAAATACAATGAAAAGTTAGGAAATAATATTTTATCTGGGAAGTGTGCTACAGACCCATAATAGATCTGGCGATGGGACTCAAGCCAAGATCTGCTACAATGGCAAGTCTTTTAAAACTCTGGGTTGGCCAACGGGAGAATAGCTTGCTTCTCCAACAGTTCTTTGAAGGCAGCCTATACTGGCTTAAACCCAGCCGCCACTGGAACTACAGCAAAATATTCCTAGCTGAATACAAACCTAAAATTTTCACTGTTGCTTCAGAGTTCTACCTATTCCTTATAGTTCCCCACCTTCCGATATAGTATATGGCCCCCATTCAACTCCATATACAAACGCTCAAAGTTTTTAATTTTCTCTTTTCACCAAGTTGCATGAAGAGTCATAGAATTGAAAGTTTAGAACTATTTCACTTAATTCAAAGCAAAACACCACAATTACTTTTAAAGTCATGGATATGTGCAGAAAACACAAATAAAAATGAGTTGCTTAATATCCACAACTAATAAATTATACCATATAGCAAAAGCAATAACTTATGATCATATACAAGTTTGCATACTTAAATTACATCAGACTAAATAACTGTTTGACTCTTTCGATTCATTCATTACTTACTTACTAGCTTAGACATTCAAAAGAAAATCCCGTAACAATTCCTAAGGACTCACGCTTAAGTTTGTAAAGTGTCATGTCAGTTACTTACTCTTAAATGTACAGCAAAAATATAAAACAAATGTGTTTGTTATGTATACAAATGTATGCATTTGCGTGCACAGATATAGAGTTAAAGCAAACAAAAATGTTAAAAACTGGTGAATCTAGGCAAAGAACAACATATGGGTATTTTTGTTTTTAACATTGTTTCAACCTCTTTATAGCTTTGAAAATTCCCAAAATTAAAGACTAGGGAAAAACATGACCTAAAATTAATTTAATTTTCCCTTCAAATGCATAATAGACAATTATGTCAGTAAGTTGTAACAACTGCCTGATTTTGATTTGGCAAAAGGAGACGTTAGGCAGTTGCTATTATATTCAAATGAGATTGAAGAATGGAAACAAAATCAAATGAATTAAAAATTCTATTTCTGACTTCTCTGACTTGTGCCACTGTATCGTAAACAACTTTATTCAAAGTTATGAAGTATGTAAACACTCACTATCTTCTCCTGGACAGGGCATTCCAGGACGTTCTGGTACGCAAGGAAAGACTGAAAGAAAATAAACTAAAATCAATACATGTTTAAAACATGCAAATTACACAGAATTCAAATATCAAAAAATTGACCCAAATTTCAACCTTACCCTCGCTTGACACAAGATATTTAGCATATGATCAGTATTACTTTTTAAAGAGACCCACTTTACCAGGGCCACCTAAAAGAAGTTTTATGAAAATGAACATCTATAAATAACATATTAGAAGCTCAAATTACTCATTCCAATCCCTGTTATGTCACTAATTGATTTTTTTTGTCCTTAGAGAAATCATTAAGAACTAGTTCCTTAAATCCTTATTGTAGTGACAAGTTTACTGCAATGAAGAATTAAAATTAAGTTATAAAATATATATAAGCATGAACATAAACCAGTACAGTTTTTAAAAAATGTATGCTAAACTTAGGAATAAATTAACACTGGAAAGAGTACCCAAGTCCAAAAATGTAAGTTTTATCTTAGAACTATATATTTGTAAACAAACAAATTCAGGCCATTTTTATAAAGAGATAGAATATAAAGAAATTGTATGTTTAAGAACGTCTAGTCAACTATTTGTAGTCCTTGATACACAAAAGGACATGGTTTAATAAAGAGCACAGAGTATGCCAGAATGTAAGCTAACCTCTGAAAACAGATCTGTGACAAAATACTGAAAGCAACAAAGCTTAAACTGGTTTTAATTGATCACTCATTTCTTTAAACATTCATTATAGCTTTATTTAGAAAGACATGATCCAAAAAATGGAAGACTTGTAAAGTTCTGCTAAGATCTTAACGAATTAGATTAAAGATCCCTTGGGGAGTCACTATGCCAAATTCTAAAGGAAGAAAAGAAATCAAACTACTGTTTAAAAAAAATACTGTATAGAAAAATATAAGTGAATTATACAAGGCATTAAAATCATTCATTATACTTATGGGAGATTTGTATCTGTTTCAAGTTTTAAAGAGTTCCCTAGGTCTGGTCTCATAAAGCTCCCATAAAATATTGCCAATATATTGCAATTAAATACAGTACATTAAGTGCTACATGACATAAAAATCTGAGGGGTAGCACAGCCGAATTAAAAGAACACAGATTTGGAATCAGAACACCTAGATTTACAACCCGGGTCTACAATGTACATGATGGCTGAATTTAGGTTTTTTCTCTATACTACCACCTACCTTTCAGATGTGCAGACATTTAACACAGTAATACCTGTAAGAACTGTGTAAATAATTTCACTGTTAACCCTTCAACAAAATAAAGGACTTTTAAGATACCTTATCTTTGGAGATCATTATTTGCATACATTGCAAAACTGCGTAGGGATGACAGATGTAACTAGGCTTTCGATTCTTAAATTCTACCCTAAACTTTGCTATGAAAACACTGTTCGATGATCACACTTTAATATCCAAAAAGGCATACACAAATAACAAATATTCCAAGATTATAAGAAGCTGATTGATTTTACCTTCTCTCGCAATTGAGAAACTACTAAATAAGGACAATTATATAGCAATGAGAAATAGAGATTAAGAAAATAACATCAGGATTATGTTTTACAATGGTCAAGAATACAGGGCTATTTAAAAAAAATATATTGCTCTAGAAGAGTAAGAAATGACTACCCCTTTACCATGAATCAAGAGTTCAGAGTCCTTGTTTAGCTCATAAAGTCTAAAGGCTTCTTCTAACTCCAGCTGAGATGATACTGTACATGGGTCTCCTACAAAATAAAAAGTAAAGCTCACTTTTAAAATCCTCTAAATGTGATGCTTAGTAAACAATTTCCATTACATAAAATCTTGAGGAAAAAAGTTATATATAAAGGGAGAAATATTTGACAAGGACAACTCTTTAGATATTTATTTAGACAATTCTATTCTCTAAAGTAGATAATATAATTTCCATTTCTATTTCTACAGAATATTACAAGGTTCACAGATACCAAATTTTGTACATATAAAACCATTTAATTCTCAATAATGTGTATATTCCAAATATAGCAAACAGAATCTACCACTGACCACATTTTAGATTGTCACTGCAATATGACTAATGGGCAGGGACAAGCTTTCTGTTGCCTCTTTCCTTTGTTCCATTGCCACAATATGGTCTATTAGAGCTCTCCATGTAACTAACCGTATTGTCAAATTCTCCCTTCCCCCGAGAGCCTACTCAAGAGACTCACAGAAAGGAAGTACAGCTAATAAAGAACTCTGGACTGAAGCGCTGTCCTATTTGAGCTGCTTTTAAATATGAATGTATATTTTTAGTCAGCTTACACATAGAGGGGGGAAGGAAGAAACACCTTCCTTATAGTCAACCAGCCAAAAAACTGAGTCATTCTTGGCAATCAATAAGATGACACATCTCCCTGTGGGATGGCATTCCTCAATGAAAAAGTCATTTTGAGCATAGTTGAGGCCTGAGCTGGGTCCTCCACACTGTCATTCTTTTGCTCATTGCTGTACTTATACCAAATGTTACCACACATTAGATGCCACCAACCTTGTTATAACCTCTATTACTCTCAGCAAAGAATTTGGTCTACCACTTGAGAGAAAAATGAAGTCATTTCCTTTCCTGTTGTCTCAAAGAAATGAATGCCTGTTTTTTCTCTAACTTGCCCACTGAATCCCTACTTTCTTCTGTCTTCTCTGGGTATTATTCCATTAAGTCCTCCTCAGTTTCATTTTTATTTTTGCTTTCTTTCTACTGGATCTTCTCAGGCAAAGGCATGTTTGAGTTTCCCTCTCAAAAATCTCTCTCCTACTCAATTGCCATTCCATTCGCTCAGTAGCCACACATCTTAAAGAGTAAACTGTGGGCCTAAACTGGAGGGGATGGGTGAGAAGAAGGGGAAGTAAAAGCAATATGGTCCTTGATTTTTCACTTCATACTTTTTTCTTTTCTTAATTACAGGTTTGTAACCTTTTAGACTTATTAAAAACAACTTTCCTTGACATCAGGAGTGATCCCACACTGCTTTCTCCATGTTCCTGTCTCCCGTGTATTTCTCAACATTCTGCTATCAGGTTTTACTTCACTCTTCTAAAACAGCTGCTGAAATCAATAGCATCTTTTCTTAATTCTAGTTGACCTCTCTACAGCATCTAACAAAGTTGCCCACTGACTGACTACAGAAACTGTGTCTAGGCTTCTAAAACACCATTCTCCTGGTTTACCAATTCTTCTTTTTAAATTTTTATTTTGGAAATTTTCAAATATATAACAAAACCTTGTTTCACTTGCATACTCACTTATCCCCCTCCACAGTATCATTTTCAGCAAATATAACTCTAGATAAAAATCTCTTAATGTAATCACAATACCATTATATAAATCTATAAAAACAAAAAATTCACTATAAAATATCCAAACATAACCATATGCAAAAAATGAAGTTGAACCTTTTTTCTCTAAAGACATAAAAAGGGCCAATAAACACATGAAAAGATGCTCAATATCATTAATCATTAGAAAAAGGCAAATCAATGAAATTCCACTTCACACCCATAAGATGACTATTACTGAAAAAGAGAAAAAAGAAAATAACAAGTATGGGCAAGGAAGTGAAGAAACTGGAACTCTTGTGTACTGTTGGTAGGAATGTTAAATAAAATTACCATATGGTCCAGCAAGTCCACTTCTGGGTATATATCCGAAATAAGTTAAAGTGGTGACTCTAAAAGATATTTGTATCCCCATGTACATAGCAGCATTATTCACAATAGACATAAGATAGAAGCAATCCAAGTGTCCATTGACAGATGAATGGATAAACAAAATGTAGTATATACATACAAAGGAATACTATTCAGCCTTAAAAAGGAAATTCTGACACATATTACAATGCAAAGAAATCTTAAAAACATTATGCTAAGTGAAATGAACCACTTGCAAAAAGACAAATATTGTATGATTCTACTTATATATGGTGCTTAGTGAAATTCATAGAAACAGAAAGCAAAATGGTGGGAGGGAAGAATGAGGAGTTACTGTTTAATGGGTACAGAGTTTCAGCGTGAGAAGATAAAAAAGTTCTGGAGATGGTGGTGATGGTTGCACAACAATGTGCACTGGGACTGGCTATGACTACTACATTAACTAAGAAAAAGCCACGAAGTGGTACTGTATCAGTTCTAGGTCTCAACCTTAAATAAGTCTGGCACCTTTTGCTTTTTGTGCTTTTGAGAGCCCTAAGCCACCATGTAGGAAGTTCAGCTACCTCTGTGGTAAAGACAATAAGAAGAAACCATAGAGAGTAGAAACCCTGAGAGTACAGAGAGGGAGAGAGATCCAACTATGCCAGCATCCCAGGTGTGCCTCCCTATGACTCCAGATCCAGCTGCTATCTGATTGCCACTGCATGAGAGAGCTCAAATGAGGCCAGCAGGGCCAGTCAATTCAGAAGTGTGAGAGACTATAACATAAAACGGTGGGGTTTTTTTTTTAAGTCACTAAGCTTTGAAGTGATCTGTTATTTGCTACCATCTTTCCCACCATCTTTCAAGTTGAATCTTGAAATTCTGTGAATCTTACAAGATCCAAGACAAATGCCACCTCTTCTGAAAGCCTTACCTAAGGAGGTAGTATTTCGTATATTTTTTTAAATGCTAAATGTAATCTAATTTTTTAATTACAGCTTTAAGATATAATTAACATAGCATTCAATTTACCCATTTGAAGTTTACAGTTCAATGGCTGTATGTTCAAAGGGCGGTGCAGCTACCACCTTAATCAATTTTAGAACGTTTTCACCAGCTCTCCCTCAAAAAACTCCTTACCTGTTAGCAGTCACTCAGCATTTCCCCTCAGCCTCTCCTCCAGCTGCCAGGCCTAGGTAACCACTAATTTACTTTTAGACTCTAGATTTGCCTTTTCTAGACATTTTATACAAATAGAATTATACAATATGTGGTGTTTAATGTGTGGCTTTTTTTTTACTTAGAATATTTTTAAGGTTCATCCATGTTGTAGCATATATTAGGTACTTAGGCGCTTTTTATTGGTGAATTATATAGTAAATATTCTTGAACTGAAATATTTGTGAGTTTGAATAACTTCCCATAATGATTTTCTATAAGTATAATTGATTCAAAGTGTGCCCAATATTTGACAATTATCTCAAAATTTGGAATAACAGTAACTCCAAAAAGGTTATGACATATACGCTCAACCGATAATGTATCTTTCCTAGCTCCCTACAGGTAATTATTAAATTTTAAATATTTTCCAATCTGATAGGTGATAACTGACATCTTATTTTTAAATCTTTGTTACTTGATTAGTGATCCCTGAGCTTTTTTGTTATTTCTGAATTAGTTATTTATACCTCTTTAAATAGATTTTTCATGTATTTCTCTTTTACATATTTTATATTAGAGAGAACAATCCTTTGTAAACGCTGCAGATATTTTCTCTCAGTTGTTACTATTCTTATATCCGTGCTTAGGGTGTTTTTTGACATAAAGAATCAGGAAAAGTTTTCCCTCTTCACATTTCTTTTTTTCAGAATTTTCCTGTTTATCCTTGAGCATTTTTTTCTCCAGATAAAATTGTTTTTTTAAAAAAAATCCTATTAGAATTTTGGGTGGGATTGTGTTTTTTATAGATTGATGAGTAGGGACTTCACATTTTTACCTTTTACATGTTGCTTCTCCCCAACACCATTCATTCAAATTTTGTTTATGAACCGAATTATTTTTGTTTATTTTCTTTATAAGGTTTCTATATATATCATTAAATTTTATTCCTTGATTTAAAAAATAACTATTTTTATGCTTTACTGTGGATGAAATGTTTTCGTTCAATATACTTTCTGATTGAGTATTATCTATAAAAAGGAAAGATATGATTCAAAGAGATTGCACAGATATACCATTTTTGGATCAAAACGCAGCACACTGAAAATAATCGATTTTGGTAAGAATGTAGAGAAACTAGAGTCTTCACGTACTGCTGATGGGAATGTAAAATGGTGCTGAAACAGTCTGGTAGTTACTCGAAAGGTTAAACATAGTTCCATTTGACCTAGCAATTCCACTTTTAGGTATATACCCAAGAGAAATTAAAACATATATCCACACAAATAGTTCTAACTATATGTTCACAGCAGCATTATTCATAATAGCCAAAAAGTAGAAATAACTGAAAAATTCATCAACTGGTAAATAAAATGTGGTATGTCCATACAATGGAGTATTATTCAGCCATTAAAAAAATGAATAAATACTAATACCTTATATGACATCTCTAGATTAGGCAAATCTATAGAAGAGAGAAGTAGATCAGTTGTCCCAAATGTGGGAACTATGGAAGAGAGGGACTTAGGGGGAAACAGGCAGTGACTGCTAATGAGCATGGGCTTTCTTTTTGGGGTGATGATAATGTTCTAAAATTGTGCTGATGGTTGCACAACTCTGAATATACCAAAAACCACTGAATTGTACACTTTCAGGGATAAATTATATCTCGATAAAGCTGTTTTTAAAAATATTTACTGCAGCATTTTTATGAGTCTGATAATAAAACTAACACTCTAGTCCAAAAGCAAAGTCTGTTTTGCCTTGCCTTAAAGAAATAATCCATTTAAAAAGACTCACTTTTTCAGCTATGCATGTTTCTTGTATTTTGCCACACATATGAAAGTGAAAGATAATATATTTACATTTTGTTTTTGACACAGGTTTTGAAAAACTTTTGCTTCTATAGAAGTACATT